CGACTCAGAAGAGAGTAATTTTGCAGGTTCGAACACTGAACTGCTGAAACAGTACCGAGTTATTTTGGCATTCCCCGCAGGGATGCGCGAGGTAAACGGGGGAGTGGGGCGAAGAGGGGGCGCGGAAACAGAGATCGAGCGTTGGAAGAGAGAGAAGAGATCTAATCATGGAAGACTGCGAATGGGCTGTGCCGATCTTGTAAGCCTGTCCTCTGCTAGCCGATAACGAGATCTTCATTTCACTGTTAGCCCCACCAATCGCTACAATCCATCCATCCATCCATTCTTCGCTCACTGCTATTACAATCATTATCGAAGCGAAGCTTCAGTCAAACGTTTTATCCGTTTTCGGATTTGGAAATCGCCACCATGTTTGGTGCTAGTATTCTTACAATAGTTTCGCTATTATTAATCAATTTTGTTGCAACACGGACTTCACAGCTCAACGATTTGGACCTTTCTGGCGCATCTGGTGAGTCTGAACACGAATGGACTTAGATTTCTTAAAATGTTAACTTTTGCACTTCTACAAATGGTCTGTTCCTAGCTGGACTCTCTTATCTGTTGATTTGTCCTCAAATTATGCAACGTATCCAAAATTTGTGTGATATTTCGCAATAGGAGCAAGTCCGCAGGCGTAGCAGATATCCAGTTCTGTCTTCACTTTCATCACTTATCGAAAAAGACGCATTGAGTGACTGCTACGGAATCATCTCGCCCAAATGAACCATACCCATGAGGTTTTCACTGGATAATTTCGTTCTGAACCTTCAACTATAATAACTTAATCGTTCTCAAGTCGCATATATAGCAATAGTATCTGCAAATAGTCTTGGTTTTAATAGAATTTTACGCAGCAATTCTCACTCATCTCTTACGACTTTGATCCTAGCTGTAGAGATATAGAGATAGTCTTAAGTAAGCCCATCTGATCTTACTTGTTCGTCTTGACTGCTCATTTCGAATACATGCTGGGGATTTTGCATTTTCTGTGGATAAGGAGCGAAGAACAGGTCGGACAATTGATTGAGCTGGGTCGGCGCAACAACATCCGCGATACACGCAAAGACAAGCTCTGATTGAACGATTGCCAGTTGACAAACTTTCACCCCCCTTGCCGCTAAAGGAAGTACATTGAAGGTTTTTATCATCATGTAAGCTTCATCACCAAGAATATGTTGCTCAAGTTTTGCAGCGGAAAGCAGAACGAAAATGAAAGGATCTGGACGGTAGTTCTGCGCATTAATATAATTGGATGTATGGCAATATGCACGGTTTGCGTATAACCGTAGAATTTTCCAAGCACTCCATTCTGAATACTTTACTTTCTCCAAAAACAGAAAAATGTCAAGTAGGGCTATTTACTCTGAATTTTATCGACTTTGCTTACTGTTTGAAAGAACTTTTCTTGCACTTTAAAAGCTCTCGCACGGTTGCACATTATCCACATGACATATGCTTCAAGTAAAAATGGCTTTATTATTACCAAACTCGCTTTCCATCTCTCCTTCTATACGTTCTGTTAAATTAGAGAGATTTCAGTTATCTTTATTCCTTCGATAATATTTAAAGCTTTTTTTGTCAAATTGTATAAATAAAAAACTTCTTCTTTAGTAAGGCGGTTTTCTAATTATTAAGCTGGTGGGCTTCTATTCTAATAGCATCGAGTATTGCGTCATTCTACTCCCTTTAGAACGAGAAACACTATCACATATGTTGACATCAACATGTACTCTATATATCTGCACTTATGTTTCCTACATTTGTTTTTTTTTCTATAAGCTAGTCAGTAGAAAAGATAATGCTGTAATGAAACTTGCTGCTTGTGTTTGAAGCTGATTCCTAATTCATCATGAACATCTTGAACTTGGCAAATACCCTTTATTAAACATGTTTCAGTGCAGATGAACAAGATAAAAGAAGCGAATGACGCAATTAAAAACCGGGCGCTATTGATTTCTTTTAACCAAAAACAAGTTTCAAAGTGATTTCCAAGCTTTTATTGTATGTCTTTGTTGTTTTATGCAATAGCAGCTACATTTTAAAGAAACTAGTATGCGAGCTTGATCTGACATCTAAATACAATCTACTGTAATTTGAGAGCTACTAACTGTTCT